GGGGGAAGGCTAGGTCAGGACAAGTTCATGGGGGAATGAGGAGGATGAAAGCAAAGGCAAGATACAGTGAGGATTTAATGAGATGTGATATTTTTGTTGTTACGGGCTGTCCAGTCGCTTGCAACTCATAGTGACCCTATGCACAACAGCCCTAAACTCTGCTCTGTCCTGTGCCAATCTCATTGCCTCCGACACACCCATCCCGATTATCCCAGTTACTGAATCAATCCACCTCATAGAGGGTCTTCCCCTCCTGCGCTGTCCCTCCACCCTCCCAAGCATGATATCCCTCTCCAAGGACCGGTCCCACCTTACAACATGCCCAAAGTATGTCAGACGAATCCTCAGAATGAGATGTTATAAATGACATTAATCAACTGTAATTAATGTTATAAAACAAAATATATATAAATGATTGAATGAAACAAAAAAAGAAAAATGTGTATCAACTGTCAAATGGAAAACCAATTTTCTGCTTAAATATCCACTCAAATCAGAATCAGAAGTTTTCTTACAAACCCTGAAGCCAGCTTCTAGCTTGCACACCTGGGAGGCACCTGCTCGTAAAGGAGGCCTGACCCACACGATGGGCTATTACTCAGCCGCGGGGAAGGAAGAGCTGGCGTCCTCACACAGGTCAGGGGGGCGGGGGCTGCACCTTGACAACCTGATGCTGAGTGAGAGAAGTCAGACTCAAAGGGGCAAACACCATGCAGTCCGCTAATAGGAGACCACAGTACTGTCAGCCCTGGGACGGGGGCAGGAGCAGGGGACAGGATGCTGGCTGTGCGCCTGTCACGGCCGAGGGTCTCTTTATCCTGGTAGAGTTGGCGCGCTTTGCCAGGCGCACGGTTCACAGGCAGCCTCTGGTCTTCCTTGTTCATTGTCCAGCATTCCTGCGCACGAGATAACTCCACTTACCATGAGATCGGCCCAGGTGCACCACAGTCTTTAAACTGACCTTTGAAACACTTGGAAGAGATGCTCTGGGGCCAGTTTGACCAACGCTGCCCTATACAACACAGGGTTTTTAATATTCTGGTGGAAACTGTCAACTCTGAAATCAGCACCACAGGATCCCCACGTTCCCTCTGCATTCCCAGCCAATGTAACACAATCGTCCACTATAATCTAGAAACAAGGGGCGCCTCCTTGGTGGTCATCCCTACTTCTGTGGCCAGCTAGGATATACCATCCCACTTTTGCCCACCCCATCTGTCCACTCGACTGGGCTGATCCACGGTGCTCTGAGGTTGGAAGCTGGGCTACTGGTATTCATTCCATCAGTGTGGCCATGGCTGAGGGACTTCAGCAGGGCTTGCAGGCCAGGACGGACTCAGCAGAAAGGCCTGGGGTGATGAAGGCGCCTGTGGACGTGGGTGCCGGTGCTTCTCTGTCTGGGCAGTTAGGATGTAGTCATTCCACGGGTGACAATAACTCAGCTCACTGACAGGGGGCAGAACTGACCCCCAGCTGACCCAGCATGGGATCTCAGAGGCCATGAGGGGGGCTGGACCCCATCCTCCTGTACAGAAGCTGGGCTGGCAACACAAGTCTCTACGGGGTCTAGGTCACCGATGACGGATACCATCATCTCCTTGATGGGGGTGCCTCTGGGCAGCCAAGCCCGTGAAGGGGATTTCGCTGGGGTGTGGTCTGCAGAAAGTATATACGGACCCACGGGAAGGCTCCCTTCACGTCCTGCATCATAGCCACCACTCTCAGTTCATTGAACTTGTCCGTGTCTGGGGTGTGGTCTGCAGGAAGTATATACGGACCCACGGGAAGGCTCCCTTCACGTCCTGCATCATAGCCACCACTCTCAGTTCATTGAACTTGGCCGTGTCTGGGGTGTGGTCTGCAGAAAGTATATATGGACCCACGGGAAGGCTCCCCTCACGTCCTGCATCGGAGCCATCACTCTCGGTTCACTGAACTTGGCCGTGTCAGCCTCGGCAGCCAGCAGCCTTCCGCCTTCCCTGATGACCTTGGATTTGTCAGCCTCTGCTTCGGCACAAGTCAGGAGAGTCAGGCTCCTGACAGCTCATCCTCAGACCTTGAACTTGCCAGTCTCTAAAAGCATTTGACTGTCTCTGACTGACGTTCGATGACTAGAGTTGGCAGCATGGCTTATACCTCACCATTAAGAAAACAAAAATTCTCACAACTGGGCTAACAGTATTGTGACGAACGGAGAAAAGATTGAGCTGATCAGCAATTTCATTTTACTCTGTCCTGTGGCCGGGTGGAAAGGGCACTCTCGGGGTCCCAACAGGAAAGCACTGAGATTGCTTCCTCAGCCCCTCCATTGACAACTGACGGCAGCAGAATCACAGAGCGAACCACAGTTTGCTGGCTCTTCCAAAACAGATGGCGCGCCCCAGCCCTGGCAATGGTGGGCATCAGCCTTGGGAAAAACAGACTTTCTTTGCAGATGTTATCTGTGAGGTCAATGACACAGCTGATTTTTATCAGCTCAAATTCCTCCAAGAAAATGATAAAAAGAAGATAGAAACTTTGAGCTCTTCCAAAAGCTGCAGAGTTCTGAGGAAATGTGATGTGGCTTCTTGCCACCTCACCACTGGACACACATTTGGGACTTTGCTTCTTCTTGAGTCTTTCCTGGACACTCATCTCATAATGAACCTAGCTAAGAGTATCTGTTTTATCCCTGTGATTTAAGCTCCCAGGGTATTTTATTTCTGGCCTTTGAATTTTTTGGTCAGTTTTCTATGGGACATTAATTCTTGTCCCATGTTGTTGTTGTTATTATGTGCCATCGAGTTGTTTGCGACTCATAGCGACCCTATGCACAACGGCCCTAAACCCTGCTCTATCCTGTGCCAATCCCATTGCCTCTGACACACCCATCCCGATTACCCCAGTCACTAAATCAATCCACCTCATAGAGGGTCTTCCCCTCCTGTGCTGTCCCTCTACTCTATCCAGCATGATGTCCCTCTCCACAGACCTGTCTCTCCTTACAACATGTCCAAAGTATGTCAGACGAAGCCCCAGAATCCTTGCCTCCAAGGAGCAGCCTGGTTTAGCCCTCTCTAGGATGAATCTGTTTGTTTTCTTGGCAGTCCATGGTACATTCAATACTCTTCTTCAGCACCACAGCTCAAAGGCATCAATTCTCCTTCTATCCTCCTTAGTCATTGTCCAACTCTCTGATGCATAACAAGTGATTGCAAAGACCATGGTCTGTATCTCCCATAGGAGACAAGAAAATCTATAATTAAAAGAATCACAAAATATTCCCCAACAAAAACCCAAATGGACAGGCCCATTGCAAATGCCTATTCTTAGTCCTGGGTCTTGATCCAAAGAGTGTTGTTTCTCTGTTGTTTTGGTCTGTAGTTTTGTGTGGCCTTTCCTGTGATCTTCGTTTCTGTCATGCTTTTCCACGCAGCAGTGAGTGTTCTAAAGGAGGGCACTGACTCAGAAGGTCCCAGGCAAAGGTTATCTAGGCCAAAGACACAGCTGCACACCTTGGTTCCAGGACATGTCCTCGGTAATGAGGGAAAGCCATCGCTACCCAACACCTTGCTGCCAGCCCCGGATGGAACATCAGAGCCCGGCACTGATACTCGGTGGATGACATTTTAATTTCTTTTTCTCTTCTGGGAAAAATTAGACAGTTAAGCAAGAGTATCAACTGCTTTTAGCTTTAATTTCTATTCATTCAGGAGAAAAAGAAAAACTCCTTAGGGTGGATAAAAATGAATGTCCTTCCCAAACAGAAATAAGGGTCTCCAAATTGCTTAACCTCTCTAGAAATATATGTCAAGAGACATTACAGGCATTGAGTGGGGGCTCCACACTAACTCTCACAAAGACCGGCCTTCTCCGCTTTGTGAAGCCTCCTCAGGGCCAGAAGGAAGCTCTCCCCTGGGCTGTCCTTCCACCCAGCTGCAACCTCAGGACCACACAGCTGCTAACGTGGCATCTGCTGACTTGGGGGTCTGGAGCTCCACCAGCGAAGCACGAGCCGGGCACTGGCAACCAGCGGCTGTCAAGTTCACGCTGCTCCTGGTGATATAGCCATGGCTCTGAACAGATTTGAAACACGCAGCCACGGAGATAGAAAGAAGGCAAGTCTACACATTCTACAGAAACT